TTGGCCGTTCATGCCATCCATTGAATTCGGTACATCACAACACTTAACAAGTATATTTATTCATATTCAAATAGTTGAATACTAATAACACATGAATACTAATTTCACTAAAACCCTTGAATACTATTTCAAAGTAAAACAAAATTCTCTTGATTTGTAATACTGACTTTTTCTTTTACTATTACATTCATTCTATATGCATTCGTATATTTCACCCGCGAAGAAGAAACATGTTTTCGGCTGTTGCCATGGTGGAACATGAACGTGAAGCTAACTTCAATTATAACTAAAACATTTGGCGCAAAGGTATTCGTAAAATCTGATGTTTGGCTGTTGCTTTGGCAACATTGGGCCAAAAAAAATTTCAGATTTTACCTAATAACTATGGTAAAAGTGTGACCTGCCTGCTAAGTTTGAGCGAAAATTACAGAAGAATTAATACGTGAAAACACTGGCAATCACACACACATACACAAAAGTGATTTTAAGGGCATTCCTAGCGGAGTGGAGTGCCAATTATAGAAAAATACATAAAAGTGTGCAAAAACGTTTTCAAGAGAAGGATTGTGGTGTTTATAGGATTAATAATTTCATTGTGGTAGCACTGTCATTCAAACCCAAAAATGGAATACAGTTTCTGTGGTAAAATGCACTTCATTTAATTTTACACATAAAAAAATTGTCAGGAGCGGCAGTTGTGAACTGTTGCCTTGAACCAAAATTTTTTTTTTTAAATGATATCCCACAGAGAACATAGTTTTTTATAATCATAATGTTGTGTAAATGTGTGCTTTTAGAATTAATAATATAATTAATTAATAATAGCACTCTACTGACCTTTGACAGATTTATATATGCTAATGTCATCATCACAACACCCATCACACACCTCCTAGTCTGTGCATTTTGATTGGTTGACTCTAAATTGCCAGCCTGTGTAACTGATGTCTAGCACTTGCGCAGTACACAGGATTTATGAGCTCATGTGACCTGAGAGGAAAACACTGTATTATTGTAATTCACATCATGGCGAATTTATGGAGGAGAGAGTGTTCATTACTCCTAAAATCAAGATGTCTGTGCAGAAATTTAATTTTTTTTAGACAAATGTCAATATTTGGATACTTGTAAGTTGCTTTGTTCTTCATATTCAATTATGGTATTTATACAATTTTCCATTTATGATTCAGGATTCATTTCGAGTTGTTTACATTTTGGTTTCAAACATTTCATATTTAATGGCTTCTTTGAATGTGTATCTGTGTTCTCATGATATCTCTTTGCATGCATTCCCATTGATTTGACCATTAGTGACCTTTGCATTGTGAGGTTATTGTGCTTGAAACCTAGTTTTGATGTCGGTTATATAAAGAAAGGCTTTAGATTGGAATATTACTGCAAATTACTGTACAACTAATGTTCCAATTAGTTTTGTGCTATGTTGTGTTTTTAATAATTTCTCTGTGCAGATTTTGTTTTTCCAAAACTACTGTTTCTTTTCCATTGTAATGGTTACCTACCGGTTATGTACAATTGTCAAATAAAAACATGTAGACAATAGAAGTGTATTTTCGGAGTGAGCGAGACATACATTTATGTCTTATTGTTCCTAGTCAGTCTGGAGAACTGTGGGGTCACCTTACTGAATTAGAAAATAAGTACAACTAGTAATTCAAATGTTGAATGGTCTAAATATTTTGTAAATTTAATGTTATTTTCCTTGTGCACAATAAATAATAGTGCTAGCCCTTGACTACAAAGTTTCTCTTAATTTTTTGGTATATTAATCGTCTCTGATATTTTCTACTGTAAATTTTGTATTGCCCTTAAACTTGATTAAAAAATGCATTTTGTAAATGGATGAAACAAAAGCATTTTTTTTTTTTATCTTCAGCGTCAATACATGGTAATAAAAATAAACGTAATCCAATACAACACTTAATTATGTAGTCTATTATCAGGACATTATTTGAGATTGCCTTGGTAGATATTTCTGTACATTTGTAGTTCTGAAGCCTTGCATGTTCCTGTTCAGACGAATACTTAGTAGACAAAATTTCTGTGCTCACTTATCACATTTATTAACACTCAATAAAAAAAATAAGCACCCACCGTTAGAATTTTCTAATTTGCATACAAATTTTTCTGTATCATAATACTTTCTTAAAATAGATTGAAACATGTATAGTGTGTATATACTGTAGTTGAATATTTAACGCCAGTTTAAAATCATTTTGTGAATACAAATTAACTAATTTACGCAGCAATTTGGTCTAATGAATTGAAACAATTCCGAATTACGCACATCATGAACATTTCTTTGTGGTCCCATGTCATTGGAATGCCATCAAATTCAAGAATGACGAAAACTTAAACAGTTTACAGTGTATACAGCTGCATGAGGTGTATGGTTGTCTGTTAGTTGTTCGCTGTAAACTGTAAACAAAGAATATTCATTTCACTTCACACAGGAACACGTACTGTCTTGCATCATTTGTAGATAATGTGATGTAGTATAACAAATATTATACCTAGTTTGGTTATGTAACCACTGCTTCCCTTGATAACATTGGGTAAATTGAGCGTTTATGTGCTTTACTTTTCCATTTTTTGGGTCAGCATTGACCTCATGTAAATGTCAAAATACTACCAGCTGTGGATTTGATTCATCTGCAGATTTCACCAAGGATTATCATTTATTAATATGTTTGCATGACATCATGTGTGACAAATTGCTTGGTCAATTTTTTTCCAATTTCCAACGTTTTTCTAGTAGATGCGATTTTGGGAAAACCTTGATTAATGTCCGTAGTTGCCGGTGTTAAACTTGGCTTAGCTGACAGTGTAGTAGTAGTCCAGAGTTTTAAATCCGGTTTGATCCCCGAAGACGAGGGTGGCCGGATTCACCTTAAACTAGTGGCAATCGTTCTTACCCCCTCCCTCCACTTTGCACGATTTAAAGCATCCCTCATCCTCATCCCAACCTTCCCACTCTCCTCCTCCACTTGCATCTTCCACGTCTTCTTTGGCCTTCCCCTTTTCCTTGGACCACTCACCTCTAAATCAAGGGCCCTTCTTAATACATGCCCATCCTCCCTCCTCAGCACATGCCCATACCAACGTACCCCATTTGCCTTCGCCAACCGATCTACCGCTTCCTTCAAACCCAACATCTGCATCAAGTCCTCAGTTAACTTTCTGTCCATCAACTTCACCCCACACATCACTCTCACCATCGCTCTCTCTGTCCTCCTTAAAATACCCAGCTCATTTTCACTCAAACACCATGTCTCGCTCCCATACAGCAATGCTGAACTCACACAACTCTTATAAACTATTCCTTTCATCTCCAAGGGAAATCTCTTCTCATATAGTAGCTCTCCACATTCCCTAAACTTCACCCAAGCAAACTTTGCTCTAGCTGTCACAGCCGCCTCCCACCCACACTTACCTTGTCCCCCAGGTATGTAAACTCCTTCACTGACTCAACCTCATCACACAACTTTTCTTCCTGTTCCACCACCCTTCCAACTCCATTCTTACATCTTCCACACGCAAAATCCCTTGCCAATCTTTGGGTCACCCTCTTTATCTTTGCACATCTCCCATGTATCCACTTCACCCATTTCACACACCGCACTGAATTTGCCTTTACCCTCTTTCCACACATGCCACATGGGTCAACCTTACTCACCAAGGCTTTCTCCTCCGTGCCACTCACCATCACTTTTGTCTTTCCCAGATTTACCTTCAAACCCTTACTCTCAAATGCTTTTTTCCATTTCACAAACTTCTCCCTCAATCCCTCCATTTTGTCATCCATCAAGACCAAGTCATCAGCATACAACATCTCTCTCATCAGCCCTGGAATAGAGAATTAAATTTACATAATGCCATTATGATTTGAAGATGGTTATGGAGCCCTGTCGTGTACATGTAATCCCACACATAAACCACATCACAATATCAAATCATAGTGAACTGTGTGATAGTTTTGACCTGATTCAATCACAATGTGCTCATGCAACCTGGCAAAACTATCCCACAATGCACTACAATTTGAAATAGCATTTTGAATGACATCACTATGAAAAGCTTCAAGTATTATGTGATTAATCATTCATTTTTGATGAAGACAAACAAATAAGTAAACAAAAACTGGAATAATTTGTCATATTTATAACAGCTGTGGTGTTAGTAGTGGCACAAGTCAAAGCATGGTAATGGGGGTTGGGGGTGAAATTATCGCTATTGTATTTTACAGTAAAAACAGTGTTTTACAGTAGGAATACTTGACGCTTTAAATTTTTGTGATTTCCTAATTTGACAGGAATCAGAGATGAATTTTAACAAACATCAGTGTGAAATGTTCCTCTTGCTTACAACATTTGTCTTGCATAAAAATAAAGAGTTCACTAAAAGTTTCTTTTACGTGTTCAGTTATATTGTTCAACAATTTTTGTTTTCATTTTTAGGAATTTTAATACATCTGAGAGTGATGGAGCTGGTCAAAGCATGTTGAGTAAACTTTTTGTGAAGCAAGTGGAACCAGCAACAGCTGCTCATTCTAGACTTCTTGCCACAAAAGAATATGTTTATGAACTACAAAGTAAGTATTAGTATTACACATCTGGCAGTGAAAAAAATAGAATTCATTCGTTTTGGAAAACACAGTATAGATGTGTTCAAAAGTATTACCGTAAAATCTGTATTAGAAGCCGCATCCCTAATAGAAGCCGCACCCATTCTTTATGAACAATTCAGACACCAAAATTTACCATTTCTCATGTGTGTAGATGCTCTAATAGAAGCCGCATTCCCTCTGTTGCATTGTACGGCTTTTAATATACAGATTTTACAAATAAGTATTAATGGTGTTATGGATCACATTTGAACACTTCCCTTTCCAACCATTGGATGTGACAGCAATATAGCATGACTTAACTAAAATCACATCGCACTAATGCATTGATTGCGCATGAACACTGGGTGGGCACAAATGTTTTAACTGGCATATTTAGGGTGTTATATTCTCACTAAAGCAGGGAAAGATGTATATTAAAGCGAACCTAAATGCGGCCTTAATTTATAGTTGTGTATATTCTAAACTGTATTCGAAATAATATTGCAGTGATTTAATTTTGTTTTAATTATAACTGTAGCTTGGATAGGCATTTGAAGTGCTTGCAATTAAACACCATGGAGGCCATTCATGGAGGGGAATAAATAACGAACGAACATATTTAACATCCGGGTACTTTTCAAAGCTATGACGTTTTAGTATCTGATAGCATTCGTATACGCCATTGTACATAGCCGTTCATGCTGCCAAGCATTGTGTACTACTAGTATAAACTCAACTTCTATATGCACAATGTGCTTTTTAAAACTTGGGTTAGAGCCTTATGCGTTTGAACCACAGTATTCTGAGAGTGGAAGCCCAATTGCGTTAAAGTACCGTACTTCCCCAATCGTAAGCCCCTCCCGAGTATGAAGCCCATTCCTATATTTTTACTAGGTATTTATCGAGTTGAGAGCATTCACGATTATAAGCCCAGAGTGTTTTTACTGGGCGTTGACGATATTATTTAAAATATGCGTGTAAAAGGTGTGTTTCATTTCATAATAATCGTGATTGGCATGGCAGTTTGGTTTGTGTTGTTTTTATGAGAAAACTCGCATTATTTTCAGAGTACATGGCGAACGTACACAACGTGGTTCGCATCCTTTCTATTCTGTCATTTACTCATGATGAACCCCGATGTGTAATACTGAGTAATCCA